TAAAGGTGGTTGATTTGTTCAACCACAACGGGACACCAAATAAAACAATTAATTGGTCCAACGAGGTACTGTCGGCGGGGCATCAAAGAGTTGGCGGAGCAGCTGGCTGACGTAAGTGAGATGTACTCTTCGCAACAGCGGGCGAACTCCCGGTTATCCTCGCCCCTATCAGGTAGAGGACAGATAAGATGAAGAAGAAGAAAAGAGAGGCAAATAGCAAGAAAAAAAAAAGGAAGAAAAAGTTCTTCTGTTATTTACTGTGCTAGAATGCACGTGTTTATTTTTTTCTTGATACTATCTTTTTCAATGATGGAGTAGAACCACCAACGGCGAACAGCGATTGGTTTCTTTACGATAAAGTATCTAGACTATCAAATGGGTTTCTTCAAAGACCGAGTATCGTTTTTTTTTATATATTATAGTAATGTAATGAACTATGTATTTTGTTAAATATTTTATTTCAGTTTTATTTTTATTTTATTATAAATTAAATTTATTTTATTTATGTGTGAAAAGCACGTGTTTCCTCTTTCTTCTAGCCAACGCTAAGGAGCAAGTATATAGACCACTCCGAGCATTTTTCATTAATTTACGATGAACATTAAAAGATGTGTTCCAATGCCGTCCGCGATGTTATATTATTTAGTTTTGTTTAAGTATTTTATTTTACTTTATTTTTGTTGCCTTTCATTGTAGACATGGTTTTTGATACATTTGTATTTTTATCCATGTTTAACTTAATTTTTTTTATAAAAATGAAATGTATTTAAATTTTAAATGTAATATTTATTTTATTGTATGAATAGCCTAAGTACTCGCGTGTATTTTATCCCTGTTCCATAATATAATCAGGTCTACAGAATGTTTCACATATCAGCCACATACAACTTCAATTATCATAGTTGTGGTTAATAAACTATGAAGTGTTTTAATAATTTATATATATCTAACGACATATAAACTTTAATTAAACTATTAATTAACTTAAAATTAAATTCCACCTGTGGTCCGGTAATGATATCTGATAAATGTGACACCTCGCCTAGATGATAGCGACCTTTGCTACTATATGTAGTCGTTATGCAAGTGGCAAACTATTTTGTTGCTGCAGGCCGACAAAAAGACCACTTGCACCGCAATTAATGAACTTATTTTTATAATAAGTTATACAAATAAACATCCTTCAGTCTTTTATTGTCATTTTTCTTCATTTATCCCGTTTTCTTATTGGAGTTATTAGCTCTCATATTATTTTACTGTTTTATTATTTAGTTTTTATATGAAAAATGAACACCTGTGCAATATTCAATTTATTTATTTTTTTGGTTTAAAAATTGAATTGTCGATTTCAAGGTTAACTACAAGTATTTGCTTAGTTTTTAACTTGTTTCTTATATATAAATGGTTTATAAGAAACAATTTATATTGATCAAGGAAGACATTTATAGTATTCTGATTTGTTTGGGAGTTCTGTCGTAACACAGTAAAAAGTAAATGATAAAAGGTAAATGTGAAACTATGTACGAAGATGAATATGAGGAGGTGGTGCATGCTGTCTAGGTATTCACGTGCGTGTTGTCGTACAGCAGTCACCGTGCTCGGCTGACACTCCGGGTTAGCTGTGGGTGTCGAAAGGCTGTTGTTATAGGAAGGGAGAATAAGAGTAACACCTAGGTATGAGGTGCAGACGAAGTGCAAGACACAAGTACTTTAGTTATTAGGAGAGGATAATGAAGTACGAGGTGCAGACGAAGTGCAAGACACAAGTACTTCAAAGAGAGAACGGGGTAGCCGAGTATAAGGTGCAGACGAAGTGCAAGACACAAATACTAGGCGTACCAGGTGAGGAAAGATAACAGAGTACGAGGTGCAGACGAAGTGCAAGACACAAGTACTCTGAAATGTCGAGGAAAAGAGTATATAGGTTAGAAAAGAAATAAACAAAGACTTTACTTTAAACAGTAAGTCGGACAGCGACAACCGAGTACTGAGACTGATGAATGACATAAGGCACTGGAGTCGACTGACCACGATGGTCAGGTCTATTGGGTTTTTATAATAATTAGAACTATTGCCAATTTGCAAATCAATATTATTTGTTAATTCATCAGTCTCAGGCAGCGGATGTGCTGTCTGTATTTTATTAAAATAATTCTCACGATTATGAAAACGTGACACCATCACAGTTCTATGAGCATTGTTTTGCATATTTTTGAGCCTTTCTGCGGAAATTATTGTGGGATTATCATAAACGTCCATCTGGATTAAAAGATAAACGTCACTTCGTACGTTAGAGGTTATGTGAAATATATATTTTGTATGAATCAAATCTCGCTGTAGTTGAAGTTCTTTGAATTTTTGATCAATTTTTGTTAATACTCGTGAATGGACTGTAATAATAAAATATTATAAACAGAGTATGAAGCTCTACCATGTGTAAACTATATCAAATGTCGTTATAACCTAACTGCATGAGTAACCTATGCTGGTTAAACAAGTAATACTATATGCGTTACGTCATGTAGTTTAATTTGTGAATATTGCGCAAATAGCTCTTAAAATGTCGTGGTATCCGCAGAGTACCATCGACACATAACAGTAGAGTACCGCCTTGCACGAGTACCCTAAACGTCAATCGACCATCGCAGTGCGTCGACAACGATGACTATAAAACGGAAATAATTAAAATATAGTTAAGGCACCATACTCTAATTATTTCTTCCTGATTACGCGTATTATGCCTAACGTAGCTGTGCACAGGTGAACTCATGCAGTTAGTTTATTTAGAATTGCTCTAAATGTTAAATTTTTACTTAAAAGTGCAATAACTTTTTCAAAAATAAACATATCAATATAATTCTTTTTTATATAGATGCATGATATCATTACCTTTCATTTGGTATATTTTTTTTTATATGTGACCCTTTACTTGCGCACAGGGGGGGAATCAAAATGACATTTTTCACAAAAAATTAATTTTTTAAACTTTAATTTTGAATGTGTTCCGGAAAGTCTGACACTTTTATATATATCTTAAATTAAAGCTAATGTAATTTAATTTATTATGCGAAAAAAAATTTCGGACTTTATTTATCTTCATGGTGAAAACAAAAATCAAAGTTTATAAAAAAAATACGATTTTTGTAAAAAAACGGTGAAAATGGCTACCGAATGCTATTATTGTGTTAAAATTCTCGATTTTATGTTTTACATTTTTAACTTTATAATGCTATGACATATTGAAAAGTGTATGGATCAACATTATTTTTTTATGAGTAATACTATTTTTTAATAATCCCTTTTTCATTCGACATACTTTATTTTAATCAGGATATTAATAAGGATCTAGCAGTTTATGAAGCTTTTGTCCACTTTCCACAATCTTTTGTGGATCAATAAATACAACATAGATAATCAAAATGTAATTAAAATTTTATTGAGATATATATATAAACATAAAAAAAAAATAGAACATTTATCAATAGTTTTTATATTTAATGATGTAATATATATATATATATAAAAATGTTTATTTATAAAAAATTAAACATAGTTATTTTTTTTTTATCAATGTCTAGTGGTTCTAAAATGTCTTCTGTTGACACATCTGGGTTCAATCCTAGATAAACAATAAAAGTATTATGTTAATAAAGTATTTACAATAGACAAAAACTATTATTACAAATCGTCAAATAGTCCTTTTACCTTGTTCAAAAAAGTCGATTAATTCTGGCGTTTTAGGATTTTCAGCCGGAATTTCTAATTCTTTATTGTTGATTGCTATAATTACAAATTGTTATCAAATATAATTAGCATGTATTAAATTGCGAATTAAAAAATTTAAGAATTATTATATACTAAAATTATTTTTAAACAATTAAATAAAATAAATAATTATTTTGTATGATTTTAATAATAGTTTCAGTTGATATATTCAACTTTTTGTTTTTTACATTCAAATAGTCAAAATCATGTTAGTTATAATTATGTATTATGTATGTGAACTTGAAATCAATAATGTACAATGTTCATAATATAATTTTGGTTAATTAATTATTTTTCGAAATTTGAAGAAAATTCTAATTCAAATATAAACCCCAAATGGACTGTACTTATAATAATCACGAAAAAAAAATTTACATTATTTTCCTCTATTTATCTATATATTTTTATTTTTGTTTTATAAAATATGCTATAAAATTTTAATTATAAAATAAATTATATACAAAATATTTTACCTCCTGGAAAGAAGTTTATTGTTTCTGGCATTCCATGATTTTCAACCGGAAATTCTAATTCTTCATTACTGATTGCTATAGTTACAAATTGTTATCAAATATAATTAGCAAGTATTAATTGCAAATTGCAAAATTTTAAAATTATTATATACTAAAATGATTTTTAAGCAATTAAATAAAATAAATAATTATTTTGTACGATTTTAATAATAGTTTCAGTTGATATTTTCGTTTTTTTATTTTTTATATTCAATATAAAATTATTAAAGAGACCATCAACGATCAAATATAATTTTTTTAACTCAATTTTTAAAAATGTTTCCGAATGTTTAACAAGCCGAAACATCTATCAAATTGACGCTTTTTAAGAATACTTTTTCTTGTAAAATAGAAATACATTCCGACGTTATTTTCTTTGAGTTGTATGATTTTATAATGCATTATTTTTACAAAAAATTTAACAAATTTTACCAAATCTACATATCGTCATCTAAGAATCATTATGAACAATCACAAAAAATTGAATAATATAATATATCAGGACATAAATTCGATTTTTAGAAATTAACGATTTACCTTGAACCACTTAATTAATCGAAAATTATTTTATAAGAAATGAACATAAATATCTATTTATGATTAATAAATTGAAAAACATGTACATAAATAAAACCAAAAACAAAAGAAAACATTATTTTTATTTTTCGATTAATTAAGTGATTCTTGATAAATTATTCTCTCTGAATCTATACAATAGCTTACTTTGTTTAGTATCATCCTTAGATTCATTTTGTATTAGTGCAGTCATCTCATCGGTAAATCCATAATTTGTATTATTATCTAAAAGTATCAATAGAAAGGAATCATTATTATTAAAATGAAATCATATACAAATATCTAAATTTAAAATTATATTAATTTAACACTAAAAAATATTAATAATATTTCACTCAATATGCAAAAATTCGGAATAATAATACCATTATCATCGCTAAATACATACGGATAACACATAGTGAAACACATAGTATTTGTACTAAATATAATATTTTAATTGAAATATAATTTTAATTTTAAATAATATTAATTACATTATTACATTTTTATTATAATTATACAAATACTTTTCTTTAGATATTTTTGATTTACAGTTTATTATTCAGATTAATTAATTTATTAAAATAAATCATTATAGAATAACGAAATAAACCTATAATTACCAAAAACAAATAAATAGTATAAAACTCCTTAAACTATTTTATACTGGTGAAATATAGTGTCAAATAAAATTAAACGTATATTAAAAATATTATTAATTTAAAAACTATAAAATAATAAACTCAAAACCTCAAAAAATTCTGAAAAGTTGTGGATATGTATTTCGGAAACAATGTTACCATTATCAACCTTATCACCTAGTGACGTCATAACTAAGTAATATTATCACATTTTGCCAGTTAACACAATTTTAATAATGAACTTTTCAATGGGCCAAGATCACAATTATTTAATTTTTTTTTTTGATTTTAAACATTTCTATTAAACCTAATATTAATTTCTTTGTAATTATTTACGTTTATAATTAGTTTTATGGTGTTAATAAAGTGATTATGTGTCAATAAATGGTCAGCGACCGTAGATTTATCAACTTTTTGACTTAATAAGTTTCTTAAGTGTTCTTTACACATGACCCCTATATTTCTTTTGTTTGTCCTACGTAACATTTATTTCAACCTTCAAATTGTATTTTATAAATGCCTGATTTCCCCCATTCTTCTACCTTATCTTTAGGATTACTTAATAAATCTCTTATATTATTACTGCTAGATGTTACTAAAGTAATACCAAAATTCTTAAATATTTTAGCTAGTCCATTTGAAATGGACACAAAATTATCATGTTTCTTAACTACGTCATCCATTTACATGTAGAAGATTGGTTGTCAGGACAATTTTTATTTTCATAGTAAAGTATATTATATAAGCTTTAATTTCAGATTAAGTATAACTGTCAGTATTCCCAAAAGATTTTTAAAAATTAAGTTGAAAAACAAATGACTTTTGTAAAAAAGTTGCTATTTTGAATTTCTTGCTATTAGCTGGTAAAGTGTCAGATTTTCAAAAAAAATATCTCAAATAAAAGGGATATACTTAAACTTTTAACATAAAAAAAATCATTATGATTCAATAATTCTTCAAAATTTATGGCAGTTTTAAGAACAAAAATGAAAAAATGCCGAAATTTCCAGATTTTAAAAACCATAATTTTTTTGATTTTTTCTATCATTTATGGGGAATGAGAGAAAAAATTTCAATATTTGAGGGTGATATATTCAACTAGATACAATTTGTGGTCTTTTGGCATATCGTTTAGAAAAATCGAAATTTAAAAAACTTTCTTAATTCAGTTCAAAATGTATAATTTTTTCAAAAATATTGAACAAACCAGAATTTAATTGATTTGGTACAACAATACAATGGGCTGATAAATCGTATTTGAAACCAAGGTCAATAAATTTGTCAAACATGATACGCTTAATTTTTTCATGTAACTTTTTATTGAAATATTCAAAGAAAACAAGTTCATTAGTTATAGTTTTATATTCTATAGTCAATTCTTGCCACATCTCATACAAATTATAAGGATTATATTTACAATGTGTGCTCCGTTTATTAATTATAAACAGCTTATTTTTTAAAAAAGTATTTATAGTTTTTAATATTTCTTCAGTAATCATAGAATAATCATTTAAANGCTTATCTTCTAAAAAAGTAGCTATAGTTTTTAAGGATTCTTGTGTAACTATTGAATGATGATTTAAGTGAATGTAATTCTTTAAATCTTCATGGTTATTTTGTAAATCAGAAAGTAAACGAATGAATAAAAAATCATGTGTTTTACTTATGTCCCAGGAATTAGTATGTAATATGTCTAAAGCATTTAATGCTCCTTGCATTATTTTAAGCAATGAATATAATTTATTTATTAATTTCAATAACTTTTTAGTACAATCATAAGCATAAGTTTCGAGATTTTGTAGGTCGTATACTGCTTTACAGTAACAATTAAAATGTGAAAACATATAATAAAATGTCTTCAAATCTTTAACGTACGAACAACCAAGTACCAGTGTAGCAGCTCGTACTTTATTATTGCAATTAAATGAGTCAATACAACTTTCATAGATTGTTTCTAAAGTGAAAACATTGCAATAAAAAAAAACTTTTTTCACGTCTTTCAAATTTTTCCACTTATCATTAGCTAAAAGATTGGTTAACACTTCGGCATTTTTTTTACTATTGGTAACTGCTTCAGTAAACTCGAGAATACAAATTAAAAATAAACTGAAACAAAGAAATCGTATTGGCGACATTTTTCTTATTAAATTGTAAAATAATTATTATACTGAACACTTTGAGAACATACTGAAATGAAAAATCAAACATCTTACCTCACACTATTTTAAGTTAAATATAAAATTTTATTATATGCATATGTATATTATTCATTTTACTTATTAGATCATCGCAGGATATATAATTATATTATCATAAAATTTATTATATTCATGGTAATGATGTTATAATAGTATAATTTTGAAAGTTTCTTCGATTTATTTCAATACAGAAGTCAAATTTTAATATTAAAATAGTTTTGAAGTTTAATTTACATTTTATAAAATAGTATTTAATAATTTACTTTAAAGATGTTATTTTATTTTGTAAAATAAGTATCCTATGTATTGTAATTTTCTATTTCAGATGTATATTCCGATTGATGAATAATTATATTTAATATATATAGAGTATCCTGAAGTAATATAGTGCGTTTTTTTGACATCGCATATGCGTTTTAGTGAATGGTAGTTTTTAATTTATATTTATATATATTTTTTTTAACTAAAGAAACTATTAACTCTAATTGGAATCAAAAAGATGTTTTTCTAAACAAATTTTTCGCATTGTTTTAAAATCTGAAATTAGACTTTTTCTATCACTTCTAAGTATTGATATTATTACTAATTATCATGAAATAAGTACAACATAAAAAATGAATAAATAAAAACATAAAAAAAAGTTTTTTTAAAATTATTACTGATTTGTAATATTCTAAAAATACAAATAATAAAGATAATGAGCTTATGGATCATAGTATGAAACTTGAGGAAAAGCTAATAGATAAGAGAATAAGAATTGAGATATCGGTATTTAAAAACTAATTTGGATTTATGAACCCATTATTTTGTGTGAGGCAACTAATAGAAAAGTTTAAGGAAAGAAGAAAAAGATGTGTTATAGATTGTAAATAGATTTAGAGAAAGCGTATAATAGAATACTGAGAGAGGTTTTAAAGTGGTCTTTAATGATACGAAGATTCCCGAAAAGGTAAATTAATATAATAGATGATATTAAATATCATCTATATCATAAATTTTATGATAGCACTTGTACAAAGGTAAAAATCGTAGAAGGAGTAACAGAAGGTTTTAGGGTAAGAGTAGGAATGCGTACACCAAGATTCTGTTTTAATTAAGTGAGTTATAATAAAAAAAAACCATTATAGTGTGGATGTGTCATAATTGGATCCAGTATAGATTTAATGTGACAGTGATTAAAATCACTATCATAAAAAACGCTTGGATGCAAATCTGTAGATACTGTTTAATTTATAAAAATTGGTGGATTATTCCTAAAGAACTAATCTCCTATTCCCTTATTTGTATCCTGATTACAACTTTTATGATTTATAAGTGTAATAAATGAATAAATAATTATTATATCAATTAAATATAGTATGAAATTGATAATTAATAATTTATTATTGTAATTTTTACGAAGAAATTATAAAAAATTATAAAGCAGTGTCGTACGTCGGTAGTACCCCGATATAGACACAAAATGTAGCACACAAATTAACTTATGTTTTTTACGACGAGTTCGTCGTTTTTAGATCTTTTTGAGTTCTTTCGTTGGATACACTGATCAGCCCCAAACCCTCCAATTAGTTAACGACTAAAGGGGTAGAGTTTAGACCCGTCACCACGGTTTAGCTCAAAAATAGTAGACTGAAAGGTGACTTTTCGATAGCCACCAACACAACTACCTTTTCACTATACCTGCTAAAAGACAGTTAAGTCTAAAAACTAGCTAGCACGCACACTAATTATTAAGATCGATTAAAGGATCAGCAATCCAACCTCGACTCTTGCCGCACACACACAAAATTTTAACAGCACGGTGAATATAAAGTATTTACGCTCAAGTTTAAGTTTTTAAATAGTTATTTTATTTACGAAACGTAATAAACACAAAATGTCAAAATGTAGTATAAAAATGTAACACTAAATAAATTAAGTCGTAAAAAATAGAAAGTTACTCACACCAAACGTCCTGACCCTTAACTTGACGTTTCTTCGTCAAAACGTCAATCCCCTATACTTTTCATGTTTCCATTTATATATTCTTTTCCCACCATTATTAATTTGCTTTCCCTGTACTTTCTCTTCATATAAACATTATTATATTGCTTAAGAATTTAAAAATTGCTTACAACTGTGGTAAAACTTATATTATACTAATATTGACGATATTTAATACTTCCTCAGCTATTTACTTCTTCTTCCTTGCCTTAATCCCAACTACTTGTCCACACCTTAATCCACACAAGTTGTCCGGATGGTATCAAACACTTTATTCCTTAGGCCTTCTCCAGCCGGCTGTCGACCTGACACAACGTCATTAGTCACTTCTTACGACTGACGGGGTGCCGTGGAAGTATTCTTATCCCCTATCCACAGAAAAAAAATTAAGTCGACTCAATAGTTCCTCAGCTATTTACTA